TGGCGTTCTGACCGTGCTGTGTTTCCTTTCCTAGAAAGGAACGAGTGGGGCTGTGCTGCTGGCCAGCTCCTCGCCCTTAAATCTGCTGTCTGCATCGTACAAGTCCGGCAGCGCGAAACTGCCCGGAGCCATGAATTCCAACTCCCTGGGGATCATCTCCCAGTTTCCTCTCCATGTGCTCTCCTTCAGCGCCGAATCCTCTGCCAAAGCAGGGGTTTCCAAGGATGCCATTGTCACGGGTCCTGCTCCTGGGACATTCCACCACGGCCTCAACCATAGTAAGTGTTGCTTTCCTCTCGTCATCCTGGAGGGACAGAAGGTTCCTCAGTGCCTGTGCTATGATTGATGAGTTCTGTTGTCACGTGCTGGGTTCCTGTGTTTGTTTGGTGTGTGACCATGGGCAGAGTTCCTGGGAACCATGCTGAACCCCCTCCCCGTGGGGTTCTCACCCGGAACCTGTCCAGTAGGTTGTCTGGGATCTCAGCCACCAAAGCAGCTTTTCTGTTCCTGTCTTCAATGTGTGTGTTTTGTTCTTTTCTCCCCTCCTGTTTTTTCTCAGGTCTCCTGGCTGGCTTGCACTCCAGCCCACCCCGTGCAGCGCCTCTCCCACACGCTGCCGTGTCCACCCACATCCCGCAAAGTCTGCCAGGTAATTGCCAGGTGATCAGAGTGCCACGCACACAATGTGCTATTCTGCTCCCCACCCATTAGATGCCTTGTCTGCTGCCAGGAAGTTCAGTGTCTTCACCTCGTTGTTACTGTGTTGTCCTGCTTTGTCCTTAAAGGCTCTGGCTCTTTGGGTACTCAGAAACTGACACAGGCTTCCCCTTTGAAATTTCCCCTCGTTCCCCACTTGGAACTGCCACTGGGTCAACCTCACCCTGTGTGATCACAGGGGAGGAGGTAGTGGCCTGTGTTCAAGGCAGGGGAACTCCCTGAGCTAAACTTGGTGCTTACATTGGTGCTATTATCCAAGGGCTAATTGGGGCACTGAAAAGCGTTTGCATTTAAGCTGCTACACCTTCCAGGTGCTGCCAGCTAACAGAAGCCTCTCAAAACTTTAAGTGAAAGGGAGACCCCAAACAGCAGTGAGGTCACAGTGGCAATGTTTTAGGAGGGACCTTTACCCGTGATGCCAGCATGTGTGCCAGACAGGAGCAACTTTCAGTTAAGTTTGGGGGTGAAGGCAGATGTTCAGGAGCACAGCAGGACCTGGGGCAGTATTCCATTTCTCTTCCTGCTTTTCATCTCCGTAGATCAGTGGATTTCAGAAAAAGGGTGTGGTATGCAGCACAGATGCCCCAGCTGGTAACCTTCATAGTACATAGTAAGTGATTGGTCTCACCCTGTACTGGAATGGAACCTGCTTCTCAAGTGTACCTAATGGAACACTGGCAGGAAGCTTCATGGGATTTTGGTTTTGGCCTCCTATTCTTACTATGATAGACCTGCTCCAGAGAGGACCAGGAAGGCTACATCAGTCATGGCAGAGCCATTCTTCAGGAAGCTGAGCCTGGGGTAGCCCTGGTGCACAGGTAGTGGGGTGGAAGGAAGACAGGGAGCTTGCCTGGAAGGGCATACCTGTGGCCTGATGCCTCCCAATCTGTGTCTGCCTCCAGATTTGCTGTGGGTCTCTGGCCCCCATGTCCTGAGGCTGATGTGTTCCTAGTGAATGCCAGAGGCCGTCTGGGTATAAGAATGGATTGAAAATTTCCAAACTGGAAATTTTGCTGCTTTAGAGAAAGGAAGCAAGGGGCTAAGCCTATACCAACAGTGACTCCTATTTTCCTCTAGAGAAGCAGTAATTGCAGTGGACTTACTCTGCAAACTAGTGGCTGCTGCTGTAGCTAAGAGGATAATGTGGGGGTCATAGAGCCACGTAGATGAGAGTTTGTGGTTTGAAAGATGGCATTGCCTCTGCTTGCTTTGGGGAATGTCACACTTTGAAACAGAAAATAATTGAAAAGCCATTGGAAACATGGGTGTTGGTCTGTGGTATTTTCAGAAAAAGCAAAGAAAAACCTTGTGCCATTTCTGTCTCTTTTAAAGCTTCTTCAGGTTGGAGGATTACATAGAGTGGTTGTAAACAAAACACTGCATGCTTACTTCAGCTGTGTGACTGTGTCTGCTTTGCTTTCTTTCCCCTGCAGACTCAGAATGCTAGTGCCTTTGAACTTGTCTTTGTAGGACCTGAGGGTTTTGATGCTGAGAGAGTGCTCATTGCTGCTTGAGTGCAGCATGGTCTCTAGGCCTCAATGTTGAGTCCAGCGTTCCAGGGGATGGTGGTGGCAGCTGAGAACAGAAGCCGCTCTGGTCGCATGGCATGCAGCAAGCAGCTGCCTTCACAGTGCTCAGAAAGCCATGCACACTGCAAGCTGCTGCAAGTAGCAATGCACTCATTCTCTGTCAAGGGTTTTTGGGCTCATTGGAGCCCCCTAGAACACTCAGCGTTCAGGGGCTTTTGCTATTTAAGTGATTCCCTTGAGGTTTTGTTACTGCCTCCTTAAGGGAATCTGAGATCCTGAAAGACTTGTGTTTTTTTTTTTTTGTTTGTTTGTTTGTTTGTTTGTTTGTTTTTTGCTTATTCTTTTACAGATGCTTCTCAACTTCATGGAAAAGGGCCTGGTGTACCACGGAAATTGTGACCTCTTCAGAGGAAAGGCCCGACTAACTTAGGTCTGGGCAGAAGCTGAACAAGTAGGTCTCAGAAACTGGATAATCGCAATGCTCTTTCTGCCGATTGGTTCTCTTCTGGAGAAGGTGTGAGTGCTAAGTGGAGCGTCTCTTGGCACTGTGATGTGCCTTCTGTTAGGGGAGCAGCCCTGGGCTTCTCCAGAGGCACTGACTGGCCTGGTGCTCCAGGCTCCGCGGCTCTGTCATGGACAATCGTTGGAGGGGCAACTCTGGGCTGGGGTGCACGCTGGGTCATGTACGAAGCTCTGGTGTCAGGGTGGAGCAGTTGGCACACGTGCTCTAAATCCACCCGACCCCTGGCTTTTGGTCACAGTACCTCATAGTGCCCTACTGGTCAGGGACTCCTGGCCACAGCAGGATCCCTGGGTGGTCATGGTGTCCGTCCCATCCTCAGGCTGTGTGCTCAACAGGACAAAAATCCAGGCTAACACACAGCTGGGAGACTTGTGTTTTTTTTTGTTTGTTTTGTTTTTTTTTTTTGAAAAGTACTCAGAACACCTAATGTTTGCTCGTTGTGGTGGGGGCCAGCTTCTCTGCTGAACATGACAATGAAGCTCTTTCAGAAAAAAAAGACCTTTGTAGATTCAATAGTTGTGACAGGATTTTTAAAGACACTTATTTTGGTCCAGATTTCATCATTACCATTAACGCATTGGATAGAATGGGACTGCTTTTCGCATGTCATATTATAGTAAGACATAATTCCAGTGCCTTTATGGTGGAGAATTAGACACACGTCCATTCAGCCTTCTGAGTGGATCTCAGATGAAGACTTTTTTAAAAGATATGTCTGTATTTAAGACATAGCTAATTTGAGTTTTTTACAGTTGCACATCATAATCTGTGCTGTCCTGACTTGAAGGTCATCTGGGGCCCCAAATCCCAGGTCCCAACAGCCAGGGCCCCCATTTTGTTTTTTTTCAGAGTTCATACAGGTGGACTGCAGAGCCCCAAAGCCCTCCACCTTTTTGAGGGCCAAGGATATGAGGGGTTCCAAGTCACAGACATTCCAGTTTGTTTTCTTTAGAAACCATTCTCAGGCAGAGCTGCAGGAACAGGCCTCTGTGAAGCATCTGCCATGTAGAAATAAGCCTTGCCATCCTGGAGCTCTCCAGGCAACAGGGCTGTGCATTGACTTAAGGGTGGTGCGCCAATGAGCTCGAAGAGTACGTCAGAGACAGACTAGGACAGCTATCCCGGAGCACACTCAGCCAGTGGCTGCTTCACAAGGATGGTCAAAGCCCTTGCCTGTCCTGTGAAGTGTGTACCACCCTGTGTGTCTGAACTGACTGCTTTGGCTAAGTGGTTGCAAATATGTTACGAGTAATCAGCCTCCTCAGAATGTACACCTGTGTGGACACAGGCAGCTCTCTTGCTTCCTGCCTTCCAGGGTACAGCGCTCAGTAACTCACAGTCATGCAGAGGTTTGCCTGGTTTCCAGCGGAGCAAGACCTCTGTCAGCTGTCCGGCTAGGCCTCTGCTCTTTTTTTCTTTTCTTTTTTGTTTTCCTTTCTTTCCTTTTTTTTTAAACGTTAAGAACCAACATGTGTTTCACATCGGGCTAGAGTGGATTCCTTATCCCTTCATTATATCTATTTTTTGCAACTTGGGTTTCCAGTTTGTTTACAGAATAGTCTTAGGTAGTAGCAAAAGAGCCAAAGAAGAGATTTGTATTGCTGAGCTCAGAGCCGCAGAGGCCGTCCGTGAACACGGAGCAGTGGGAACTCTCCAGGCTTCTCCACCCGAGGACACCCAAGGTCCCTTCCCTGCAGCGCTCCCTCCTCCCCATGTACCACTGAGTGTGCAGCTGGAGCAGAATACCCTCATTTTTAGGAATCTAGTGATGCCTCTTGCCTCAGGGAAACGTTTCTTTGATGGGGAGTTTATGAGATTTCTTTTTCTTGTTTATGCTTTATTTGTGGTAACGAAAGAGTGAATGACTTCCACAGCCATGGCCGGGCGGGCCGGCAGGCAGAGCAGGGCCTGGGGCTGCAGGGCTGCGGGGCTGTCCCTGGTGCAGCCGCTCCTGAGGTGTGAGAGGGGCTGTGGCTTTTGTGCGGCGCGACTATGTTGGTGTTGGGGGGTGGTATGGAAATTGTTAATCTTGTATAAAGCAACTCAATAAATTGTTTCAAGGTTTCCAAAAACATTGTTTCTCATTCTCTTTTTTTTTTTTTTTTTTTTTTTTTTGCAACTAATTCTTCTTCCCCCAGGAGCTGGTATATGTGGAATATCCATTTTGGCCAAAAGCCAAGAGGGAGCAGGGGAAATAATAAGCCTCACATGCAAAAGAAGAAACACTGAAATTAGAATCAAGCCACCAGGTGTTTATTTTTGCACTATAAGTAGAGTTCCCTAGTCCCATTTTGTTACATGATATATGAGATAACAGAGAACCTAAAATTCATTTGGTGAAAATCAGGTGTGTAGTATACCTAAATACCAATGAGCTAATAAGACTTGTAAGGCACTGAAGCTAAGGCTAACAGCAACAGAGTCCTTTATGAAAATCATTTCAGAACCACAACGTATTCTCTGATGGTGCATTCCCCTGGGACAGTCTGGCTGACAGCCTTCACTCTAGCACCAAAGGCCAAACACTGTTCTGGTTTCTTTGCACCTTTTCTGGCCTAGAGCCCAGATCTATCTCACCAGGAGGCCTCTGACAAAAAGTCTGCTCTCAGCCAGAACCCTGGGGGAATGTGAATGTAGGTCAGCAGCCTTGAGGGGCCCAGTCCTTTGATGTACAGAAAGGTGTGTGGAAGGGAGGCCTTTCTGCCCTGGAGTCCCCCCACCTGGGGTGTGAAGGCCAGTGCGCAGAGTGGGCTTGTCTGCTTCAGTTGTCCTGTGTCATGTGCTTTAGTTTTTCGGGTTGCTTCCAGATGTCACCCAAAGAGTCTATTGATGGAAGTGTGTAGGATAAGGGACAGAAGAGGGATATCACGGTTGTCCAATGATTAGAGGACGAAGCAGGTCCCTCACCCAGGTTGAATGACCGCGAGGGCACAGGTCAGGAGCCTGCACGGGGCCAAGGAGGAGAAGACATGGTGATACTGGGTAGGAGACAACCAGCCACTGGCTTCCAAGAAGATGGAGGGCTGAGCTGTGCTTACTTTTGCCCAGACACCAGGACGGCCAGCTCCTGGATGGACATATCCTTGTTGACATAGCGGTCGTACTGAGCCGGAGTCAGCCTGCCTTTCTGCAAGGCCTCTTCAATGGAGAACTTCCTGCCAGACTTCCTGTCGTGGATCACAGAGGACTCCCCACTAGGACCCTTCACCGATATTTCCTCCCAATCACACTCCTGGCTCCTGAGTTTGACAAACATGTTCCAGTCGATGAGACCGACCCGATGGGCTTCCTCTGGGGACAGCTCCCGGCCCGTGTCAGGGTCGATGACCACAATGGAGCGCCGCAGGTGGTTCTCCCTCTGCTCCCTCTTGACGGCCACGGAGCCCAGGCGCTTCTGCAGCTCATCGATTTCCAGGTCTTTGTCTTTGGAGAGCCTCTTGAGGTCATCCAATTCTCTCTCCAGGGACCACAGTCGGGAGTTCAGGTTTGTCCCAGAGTCCACCGCGGTCATATTTCTCAGGTCTCGTGTTTCTGTTGCTGCCATTTCAATTTCTGACTGGAGCCTCCGGGTCTCAAGCTGCAGGCTCTGTCGCTCCAGCTGTAGCCTGTGGTTTTCTTCCCTTAGGAAATCCAGCTCTTTGGAGGACTTGGAGTTACAGAACTCTAGCTCTGACAGCTTGGCTTCCAGCCGACTCACTTCTGCATCCAGTTCCCTCTTGCTCCGGCTCTCCTCCTCCAGGCTGCTCTTCAGCTTCTGAATCTCTTGTTCAGTGTCGCCCTTCTCCACCTGGACACTTTCAGAGAAGACCACCTTCTCCTTGACCTCCATCTTCTCCAGGTTGACAAGCTTCTTTCTCAGGGTCTCGAGCTCGCTCTCCAGGACCTGCCGCCGGTGCCTTTCTTCCTCCAGCTGGACTTTGAGCAGAGCGTGTTCCCGGGCCTGCTGGGGGTCCTGCTGCAGCACGACCTTCTGCTTGAGAGTCACCTTCTCCCGGGCCTCTCCCTCCTCCTTCTCCAGCTCGGCCAGCCGCTGCTTCAGGCGCTGTACCTCCAGCTCGGCTTCCCTGCGCGCCTGCCTTTCACGCTCCAGCTCCTCCAGCTGGCGTTCTAGCTCCGCACGCCTGCGCTGCAGCCGCCGCAGCTCCCCACGGAGGGTATCAATCTGCCGCAGCTCTGCATCTATGCTCTCAGTGAAGGCGTTCACCTCAGCCCGCAGGCCAGGCTCCTCCTCGTACCTGACCACTTCCTGCTGGACCACCTTTTCCTTCACGTGGGACAGCTCCTCCTCCTTCTGCTTGATCTTCTCCTCCTGGGAGGCCCTCTCCCTTTCCAGATCCACTTGTTTCTTCTGCTCCTCCGATAGCCTGGCCCTTAAAGACTGTACTTCCTCTTTGGTTTGGGGGTCTTCCTGGAACTGGAGAATCTCCTGGACCACCTCCTTGGTCTGCACCTGCGGTTTGGTGTCTTTCAGGGACTGGATCTCTTGCTTCAGCTGGTAAATTTCTACATCACACCTTTCAATGAGTCTTGTCTTGTCCACAATCTCCTCCCTGAGCCTCTGAAGCTCTTTCTCCATCTCAGGGTCAGTTTTGTACTTGATGACTTCCTTAGTCACTTCTTTGACCTCTACCTGGGGGCCCCGCCTCCTGAGTGCCTCCAGCTCACTCTGGTAGCTCTTCAGCTGCTCCTCAGCCCCCCGGTACTTGCGCTCCTGCTCCACAAGCTCCAGGCGGAGATTGGCCACCTCCCTCTCTGCCTCAGGGTCCGGCCGGACAATTTCCCGCACTTTCTCCTGCACCAGCACTCGGGCATTCTCCTCCTCCAAGGCCCAGATCTTGCGGAGCAGCTCAGTCTTCTCTCTCTGGTTGGCGCGAGCCTTGGCTTCCTCATCCTCATACTGGCGTTTGAGGTCGCCGACCTCCCTCTCAGTTGCCACATCCTTTTCCACCTTGAGCACCTCCTTCACTGTGATCTTCCCCTCCGCCATGGCCCGCTCCTTCTCCAGCCTCTTGAGCTTGTCCTGGAGGAAACTCAGTTCCTCCTCGTGCTCCTCCCTGAGCTTGCCCTCCCGCTGCTGGTCCTCCTGCAGCCGCTGGTACTCTGCCTCCAGCTGGGGGTCATTCTGCAGCTTCACCACCTCCTTCTCGGTGACCTTCTCCTGTGCCTGGTTCTTCTCCTCAGCTAGGGCTGCAATGCGCTGCTGCAGGAGGGCTGCCTCTGCTTCCCGGGTGCCCTTCTGCCGCCTCAGCTCCTCCAGCTCCTCCCTCAGCTTCAGGACCTCATCTGCCTGGGCTCTGTCTGGCTCGATGCGCAGCACCTCCTTGACCATGTACTCCTGCCCCCCGTCCCTGGTCTCCTGCTCCAGGGTGTGCAGCCGCAGCCTAAGCGCCTCTAGCTCCTCCTGTAGCAGCTGGTTCTTATGCTGCTCCTCCACCAGTGTCCGTTGCATCTGCTGGAAGCTCTCCTTGAGCACAGGGTCTGGTACTTTCTTCAGCACTTCCTTCTTTATCACTGCTTCCTGGGGGCTCTGATGTTGCAGAGTCCGGATTTCCTCCTGGGCACTCTGGACCTCCTTCTCCAGCTGCTGTCTGCGCTCAGTCTCCTCATCCAGTTCCTTCTGGACCTTCCATGTCTCCTCCACTGTGGAGCCTGGTGTGCTCCCTTGCAGTGTCTCATGGCTCGCTCCCACCTCCGGCTGCTGGGAAGGAGGAGACAGTGCATGGTTAAAGCTGCACGCTCTGTGGCCTGTTCCCAGCTGGTCTGGGTGCACCTCAGTCACCTATGAGCAGGTCAGACTGGCTGTCCTATGATCCCAAAGGCTCCCTCAGTGCTGAGTTCATGAGTAGTTTACCATTTAAAAAACTTAACGTATCTTACAACCACAGAAGAGTGTGAAGTGAAACCACAGTCTCCTGCCTTTGATCCTGTTCCTCCTAGAGGCTAGCAGTCATCTTTGAGACATGTGCATTTCTCCTGCACAAATGGTTGTCCCCTATTCTGCTCTCCGTACGTTGCGCTTAGTACAGAGAGAGCATTCACTGTGGTGCTACTTCATTTTCCACAGTGTGGACAGACGTAGGCTTCTGAAAATAAGTTACCTGCTCCTGGGCGCTCAGCAAATGTTTGTTGGATGGCATACATGTCACATTCATGTCAACAGAAGCACTGATGTGGGCCAGTGCCTGGACTGTGCTGCCCAGCCATGTTAGCAAGGGGCCGTGCCACTAGCTTACAGACTGTTTCTTTAAAGCAGAATGAGCCTTATTTTTCACCTGCTGGAATAGTTTTGAGTAAAATGTCTTACTAAAAGAGGCGCCTGGGTGGCTCAGTCAGTTAAACATCTGACTCTTAATATCGGTTTAGGTAGTAATCTCAGGGTCGTGGGATCGGGCTCCAGGCTCAGCGTGGAGTCTGGGATTCTCTCTCTCTCCCTCTCTGCCCCCCCTCCCGTCTCTCTCTTGTCTAAAATAAATAAAATCTTAAATAAAAAGGTCTTATTGAGATTCATTACCTGTCTCAGGAGACTCAGAGCAAACTCCAGATTCTGCAGCCTCTGTCTGTTGATGGCGTTGACTTCTGTGAACTTGGCAACAAGAGCTGCTTCCTACAGGAGAGCAGTCAAAAGTCTAAGCAAGAGTGAGCTGGACAGTATTTGATAGTCTGGCATTTGGGGACAGTGGGTGGCCTCTGGCCTCTTGCTACCTGGAGTTGGACTGCAGTCTAAACTGTTGGAAAAACCGGATGTAGAAGAAGACTAAGTCCCCATCTCTGTGGTTTAATGTTCTCATGTGTAGAAGGACCTAGTAACATCAGTCTTCCATGTGTACTTAGGAGGAGGGGGTGGGGAGCCTTCCAAATCCACAGCTCTGGCCCAGAAACCTCCGGCAGCCTGTCTTTCTAGGTGTATCAGCACTGCTGCCCGAGAACAGTTCTCTTTTCTTACTGAACCTGTTTGCACCCAGGAGGGCTCTCAGCCAAGTTTCCCTGTTGGGTGTACATCTTGGAGGCCTGCATGCTGTGCTCCCTAGAGGCCCTGGCAGCTCCAAGAAGGCCCAGCCCACAGAGCTCACCTCTTCCCTCACTTTGGCGGCAGGGGACTGGAGCCTGGCTCTCTTGCTCATGTGACTGCTCCTTCCATTCTCCAAATCAAGAAGGGACCTTAGCTTCTCTGCTTCTAATTCATAGTCCTGGGTGAGAGAGAGAGACATGGCTGAGAGCAGACAGAGGCAGTTGAGTCAGAAATGTTCTACCCCTTGAGGCTGACTGCAGAGGTCTACGCAGCTGTATCAACTGCCAGCAGGTTTTGAGAACCATCGGTCCATCAGTAGTACAGAGCTGTGTCCCTGAACATAGGACACAACACACAGTATGCCAGCACTTGCCCATTGTGCCCTAAACAGTGCTCCCTCCAGGCCCAGAGTGTGGCCTTCTGCTTCCCTCATTAAACGCCGCACTGTAAGCTGTATCTCACCTTGATGATGTCCCCTTCTCTGTCAGTTTGACGACTTTGTAATCCATCCAGTGGGTGAATGATACCTCGCCAATTCTCTGCTATTGGCCACGTAGGTGAATTCTAGTTTTTCTCTTTTGCTATTGTAAATAATGCTGCTACAACGATTATTTATCCTCTATTGTTCTTTTCTATTTTTTTCCTTGAGGATAAATTCTCCCAGTTAACTGCCTCGAGCAGAAATCCCCTTTCTGGTATTCAGTGTCTGGTACCATACTGTTTTCCTAAGGGTCATGCCCTTTTACAGGATCCAGCAGTGCCTCAGGACAGCCTGCCGGGCCCAGGGCTTCTCTGTCCAGCTCGCAGGGAGGGAAGAGGCTCTGCTGTTTTGCACTCCAGGCAGGAGTCTCGCGGCTCACCTTGACAGCTTGCTGGTACTGCTGGGAGTGGGTGCAGACTTGGTGGACTTCCTCTTCCCTTCTGGCTATCTCATCCAGCAGGTTCTGTAAAACAATAGAGACTTTAAAAATCAAATTTAAAAAAATTGATAGAGGGCAGCCCTGGTGGCTTAGTGGTTTAGTGCCGCCTGCAGCCCAGGGTGTGATCCTAGGGACCCGGGATCGAGTCCCACATCGGGCTCCCTGCGTGGAGCCTGCTTCTCCCTCTGCCTGTGTCTCTGCTTCTCTCTCTCCTCTCTGTGTGTTCTCATGAATAAATAAATGATATCTTAAAAATTTTTTTTGATAGAGTAGCTGGGTTCCTTAGAATCTGAAATTATTCTTCTGTAATACAAAGTCTAATGAATGGCTTCCTTGTGTACAGTTGTTTGTCGCAGAAGGCAGTTCTCCAGCCCTGTGAAGAAGGGTCAGGAGGAGGATCGTCTTTGCTGGGAAACAAATGTTTACCGGGTGCTTCGAGATGTCAGGCACTGTTCCATATCTTACTTAGATCAACTCATTTAATCTTCCAGCTGCCCTGTGAGGTAAGTACCATTGTCTCAAGTTTATGACACCGAGGCACAGCTAGGTTCAGTGACTTGCCCATGGGGACACGGCTATTAGGGGTTGAACGTGGCTTTGAACCTAAGCTGTTGGGATCCAGCGTCCTTGTCCCTACAAGACACTGCTGCCTTCCAAGGAACCAGGACTCTGAACTCTGGACATGGGACCTTTCACCATGAGGGCTCCTCCTGTGTTGCTGCAACCATTTACTCATTCAGCCAGCCTTCGTGGACGGTCCATGGGGGGCTAAGCCCCGTGCTGGGCACCGAGGAGGGAGCGAGACCACTCTTAGAATTACATGCTGCTGGGCAGGCTGGGCCTGGCCCCTTGAAGACACAGCTCTGCCAGGCCTTTCCCCTTCTTCCACCAGGGCAGGCGGCAGCCACTGCCCTGCTCCCCTCCATGGGTGGGCCTGCCGACCTCCCATGTTCCCCACGCCCCCCGTGCAGCTGCAGGCCGTGAGCACAGAGGCAGCCACCCTACCTTCTGGTTCTTCAGCTTGGTCTCCATCTGGCTGAGACTGTCTGTCTCCTGGGGTTCGTAGCTGGGGATATGGGACAAGAACTGGAGCACGTGGTTGTAGCCGCTGCGGTAGTCCTCATATGCGGCCCTGGCGCTCTGCAGGCTCTGGGCCCTATGGAGGCAAAGCCCATCAGGCCTCTGCCACAGTCAGCAGCTGCCTCCTATACCCTTTTAAAGACATTATCTCCACTCATTTAAAAGGGATCAACTGTAATCTAACAAGATAACCTAATTACTTCCCCAAAAGAGGGTGGTTAACAAAATTATGGAATGAAAGGTTGGAATACTCTGTGGCCTCTGATAGGTCCATGCGTAGTGACCGGCAGAGATGCCCGCTGGGTATTACAGGACCTCTAATTTACCACAAGTCCAAGGAAAAACCACAGGAAACGCTAGGAAACCTGATGTCACTGAAAATAAAAACATTAACATTTGAGGTACACAGCAAAAGTGGTGCTTGGGGGGAAACTTGCAGTATTTAGTGCTTTTATTGGAAAAGGAGGAAGCTCTCAAAGTAATAATCAGGAAAAAATAAAGCTAACAGCAGCGGCAGCAAGAAATTGTAAGGAACAGATGCCAGTGAAAGAGGAGACAGAACAAGAGAGAAAGGGCTGAAACCAAAGCCAGTTCTTTGAAATGGTCAGTGGACTGAACCTCACAACAGTCCGGAAGGAAAAAGAGAATAAAGTGAGAAAAGACAGAATGTCAGGAATGAGGGAGGGGGCATCCCCTCATGTGGAAACCGTGAAAGGATAAGAGTATCATGAGCAACGTGTTGTCCATAAACCCATCCACTTGAGATGGACACACTGTTTCAAAGACACAAGCTACTGGACCTGCTCCAAGAATTAGATGACCCAGAATGGTTGCATTTGTAGTTAAAATCTCACACACCAAAAACAAATGGCTTGTAGGCCTGCGTGGCTTCTCCACTACCAAGCATTTAAGGAAGAGGATCTGTTCAATAGGAGCTCTTCCGGAACAGAAAAGAGGAGGGCACACGGGCGCCTGACCCCAACAAAGTGTAGGACAGGAAACAGCACGACCGGTGGAGGTGGTGTGTCGTCATTCGTGTTACCTACCTACGCCGGTTCCTCAGTATCTCGGGAGGGCACACAGACTGGCAGCCAGACTTACCATGGGGGAAAGGGGCTGGTCGTTACAATCACTGAGGGTTTCAGGTTTTTTTTTTTTAAAGACTATTTAAGAGAGCGCAAGAGAGCATGACCAGGAGGAGCGGCAGAGGGAGGAGAAGTGATCCCCCACTGAGCAGGAAGCCCGATATGGGGCTCGACCCCAGAACCCCGGGATCATGACCTGAGCCGAAGGCAGATGTCTAACCCACAGAGCCACCCAGGCGCCCCACCTTGAGTTTTTTTACTTTGCAATGTATTGCTTTAAAAAAAAAATTAGACAATTAACAGCCTTCGGCAGCCTCGCAGCAGACCAGCTAGGTGGAGGCTGCCGTCCGCCCATGGCCCCTCACCTGAGCTCGACCTGCTGACGGACATTGTCAGAACGCTGGCCCAGCTTGTGCACCTCCGCCTCCTGGCGCTCCAGGTCGGGGCAGTGCTCCTGGAAGCGGCTGGCCAGTGAGCTGGAGCACTGCTTGGCCACCTGCAGGTTCTGCTCCACCTCAGCAAGGAGGGACTTCTGTGTCTGCAGCTTGGAGGCCAAGACCTGCCCGGGCGGAGAGGCAGGGCGCTGTGGCCGGAGCTCCCAGGGGCTAGGGCGATGCCGCCCGAACTGCCTGGGGCCTCCTGCCTTGGGGCGGGGGGGTTAAGCCTGAGCGAAGGAAGGGACTAGGGCTTTGCCTCTGCATTTCCCCTTAAACCTGGTGGTCATTTCTGCAACGTTCTGTTTCATCACAATGACCACAGCCCAGGAAAACTAATGTGAAAACCCAGCAGTAGGCAGCACGTGCCCTGCAACATCGTGCCCAGGACCAGAAGGACCCGCTGCTGTCTGGGGGCAAGGCCACAGCTCTGAGGTGAGGATCTCCACACTGAGCAAGGATTCTGTGAGCTGCTGTGTGAGTAAGGGGCCTCCCGAGCGCTCGCAGACTCGAACGCCCCCCGCAGTCAGGCAGGTGGATGCACAAAGCAGCCCAGTGGCAACTGTGCCCAGAAAGCAGATGCTGGGGCTGGAGGCATCGCTGCTCCACTCCTGCTGACCTGATCCTAGAGCCTGGCGGCCCAGGGAGCCAGATCTGCTCGTCTAAGATACTGGACATCTGGGCAGTTGGTGTAGATACTTCATTTTAAAATCAGGCACCTCATTTCCGTAAGCCCATGAGCAGCTGGGATTTGTGCCTTGGGCCTCCATTTGCCACTTCTGACATGGCGCGCTGCGGCCTTTCAGAACCCGGAGACTCTCTGCCCTGGTACTCGGGGCCCAGTTCCCGTCTGTTCAGAGGTGGTAGGTAGGGAGCACCTGGAGAAAAAGGCTCCTGGGGTCCTGAGGCCCCAGACTTACCTCCAGCTCCTGCCTCTTGCTGTCCAGGGCATGGCCACTCTCAGGTACCGTGTCGTCCTGGGTCAGCTGGTTCTCGTACGTGGCCAGTGCTTCCCAGCCCCGCTGCAGGCTCTGCTCCAGGCGGTTGGCCACATCCACCCTGAGGACATGGGTCAGGCGTGAGGGGTGCCCGCCTGGCACTGTGATCCCGCCCAATCTCCCCGCTGCCCGCCTGCCACCCACTTCTCCTGAGCCAAGTCCAGCAGCTGCACCAGGCGCTCGTATTTGCGGTTAGTGTCTTCGACCCGGGTCTTCAGCAAAGACGTGGTGCTGCTGCCCGGGAGCACCTGCACAAATTCCTCGCACTCAGCCGTGCTGCGCGCTTTCTCAGGCTCGATCTGCCGCAGCTCGTTGGTGATGTTCTGTGGGGACCAGAGCCCTGGAGTTGGCCATGGTCCGGCAGCCTCCTCCCTTCCAGGGGCTTCATGAGACAGAGGAAACTGTCGGGGAAGCCTGGGCACCCCCTCCCTGAGGGAGCCAGCCCATAATGAGCATCCCCCGAATCCTGGTATGGTGGGCTGGTGGGCTGTGACCCACAAAAAATGGTGGAAGTTAACAGGTGATTATCAAGCATCTACTGTTCCGTGCACATCGTGTGGATGATTTCATCTCTGGGGGCCACCCCAGTAGGTGGGTACTCCCTCCCCCCACCCAAACCCCGTTCGCAGGTGACCTTTGTAAGCAGCTCCGGCAGGGATGATGGGGCCTAGCCATGCCCCCTCCCCTGTGCCCATCCTCCTCCGGTTCCAGCCCCGTTTCTGAACACTTGGAGGTCTGCGGTCAAGCAGCCAGCAAGCAGCTCTAACACCCACTTGGCAGGGTGGTGAGGTGCTTGGCCAGTCCCTGGTGTCCTCAATACTGCCACGGGGCCGCAGGTGACAAGCCATGTGGAGGCAGCATGAGCCTTGCTTGCCCGTTCTCCTGGGGCCGTGTCTGGGGCACCAGGGCCCAGGCCCCTCCTCGGTCATCAGTCCAGAACAGCCCCCTCACTGCCGTCACTCAGGCCCTCCGGTTACATGGGGCAGGTGGTCCCTGTTCGGGACAGAGGCCCCCATGGGGATGAGACCAGGCTGGTGGTACCTTGAGGTCCTTGGCCCGCTCTGCACTGTCCTGCACAGCTCGGCCCTGCTCCAGCGGCGGCCGGAGTATCCCCGTGACAGCCTTCTCCTGCCGCTCCAGGTCTCTGGCCACCTTGTCCAAGCCAGCCAGCAGATGCCGCCCCTGAAGGTCAGAGGGGTCTGCCAGAAGGAAATCGCAGAGTCAGGTGGTAGTGGGGATCTGGAGTGGGGGGCACGAGGCACAGGGAGAGGGCAGGGCCTAGGAGGTCAGCTGGGACTTCTGGGGCTGGCCTGGCCTCCCCCACCGCTGCCCTGCCTGCCTCCTGCCATGCCCTACCCCCTGTCCACCCAGAGCCCTGGACGGTGGCCCCAGCACCCACCTCCAGGGTTCTCTGCCTTCAGCACCTCATGCCGCTGCTGGAGCGCACTCTTGCTCCTGGCTGCCTTCTGCCGCACGCTCCGGTACTGGCTGCCCAAGCTGTGAGTGCAGAAATGCGCTGGGGTCCCGGGGCAGCCCGCTGCCCCCCACACCCACACCATGGGACTCTGGACTGTGGCTAGGCAGATGGCCCAGAGCAGTCACAGGCCCATCAAATGTTAAAAACCGGCACACGTGGCAAGTTTGTGATAATGCTGCTTGCTCTTTGCTCTGGGTTCGGGTGGACCCTCCCTTCCTTGTCTCTCCTCTCCTTCACACCGGGTTTTCCCGCCTAAAGTTATCTTGTTTATGCCTTTGTCTTCCCCACCAAGACGTTACTCCTGAGGTAGCAGTACACAGTAGGTGCTCAATAAATACTTGCTGAATGACTAAATGAAGGCATTCCTTGAATCACTCATTTAACAGAGTTCTTGTGTACTTACTTTGCACCAGGGACCGAACCAGGCCCTGGAGACAGTAAATCTCAAGGAGCCCACCTGCCTCCCAGACTGACACCCAGAACGTTCTAATGAAGGGCAGTATATGCAGTGGGAGAGGGTGCTTGAGCCAGGGTGGAGGGCGAGTGGACAGTCAGGGGAGGCTTCACAGAAGAGGTGACCACGCAACCAGCCGGGCCTCTAGTGGGTGTCCACGTAGGGGAACAGCACAGGCAAAGGCCCAGAGGCACGTTCAGAGAAACTGTTCACTGACCACACCCACAGCCTGACAGACACTCAGCGAGTCAGCCTGGCCAACAGGGTCTGCTCCCCATCCCACCTGAGTCCCCAAGGGGGTGCAGGTGTGGGGTGTCAGTTGCTTCCTGAGGCTGAGTCAGGATGCCCAGGGCTGTGCATGGGGCCCGAGGGGCCCAGCGGGTGGGGCCGGCCCCTGCTGGCTCCCTGTGTGCCCCGTACCTGTCCACCAGAGCCAGGGCCTCGGGGTCCGTCGGGGGAATCACGAAGCAGACGGCAGGGGCAGTCAGCTTGTTCCCGGAGCTGTCTGTGAGGTCCCAGCTGTCCCCGTTGTTGCTCTGCAGGGTGTAGCTGTAGCCCCGGGAGATCAGGCCCTGGCAGGGGCAGGCCGGTCAGAGGGCGTGGAGAGACCTGCCCTGGCCAGCGACCCGGGGCCCAGTCGCCGTCTCGGCCCACCCCCCGATCCTAGCCTGCATCTCTGGCCCTCCCCAGCACACTGCATGGGAGGGAGTAGGGGCCGTCCAGCCGCGAGGGGACGGGTAGGATCTGATGTCTCAGCACCCACCTGGATTTCCCTTTGGAGAACTGCCCCCCAGTACTCAGGGTGGGCATGTGACGCGGGCCTGGCCAACGAGAATGGCATGTGTCAACCACAGTGACTGGTTTAGGCAGGACACAGGACTAAGCTGGTAGAGCAGAAGGTCAGGGCGGTGGGTGGGACACTGGGCAGAGGGCCCGGGGGGTCGGCAGAGAGTGACCCCCAACTGCAGAGACAGACAGAGTTTCCCTAAAGACGTATGGGGCCCTGCATCCAGCCTTGTCACTCCCGAGACTTTTCAGTGACCTGGAAGGGGCAGATCTGGGCCCAGCCTGGGGCCCCCGGGCAGCAGCTCACCTGGTCACCCTCAAAGTCACAGAGTGCCTCCACGGGGATGGGCTTGAGTGGCGTCTCCCGGCGGTACTTAAGGGGTACAACCTGCTGCCCTCGCTTCTCCAGGCCCCGCACCACGTGCTCATACTTGTCCAGAGCCTTCTCCTGGTCCTGTATGCAGTGGGGGGAGGGCCCAGGTGAGACCACACACCTCCCGCCCCCAGGTGGGAGCCGCAGGGAAGGGTGCGGAGAGGCCCTTGGCGGGCCCACCACTCACGTCCAGCTCCCGCAGCAGCAGCTCAATCTGGTACTGGTCCTTGAAGTCGGGACCATATTTCTGGTTCAGGTCCAAGTCCACCTTGTGCAACAGCTCCTGAGCGTCCTTCATGTCTCTGTGGAACTAGGGGAGACCAGATGGCCCTGTTACGGACAGGACACCACTGGGACACCTAGGGCTAATCCTGCGGTGGCTTCATGCCCACCCCTAGGCAGGGCTGCCCCCCATCCCCACCCTGACTCGCCCTGAATCTACAGGCTCCACCGCTCAGAGACACAACCCCCAACCCTCCCCGGCTGGGGACCTCTTGGGCCAGATCCTTCCCACCCGTCCACACGATGCCACCTCTAGGACAGAGTAAGTGTCCATACATAGGTGCTGTTAAAGCTTTAAGCTCTTTTCCATTCCATTGCTCTCTTTGAGCTAGGGACACCCTGACGTCACGCTGCACCTTTCAAAGTCCCGGTACATGGAACACAAGCCTCCCCACTTTGTTCTAGAACATTCTCTTGCCTGTTCTTTCGTCCATCAACTCAGAAATCACTCAGCTGTCCCCTGGGCTGTAACAATGGACTTTGAGAATAGGACTTTGAGATCCCTATGAAGCTCGTAGCCCAGCGGGGTCCAGACACTGAACCCGGGGTTACATTAGAGTGTCACCTGGGCTCAAGAGTCCCCAGTCCCAAGAATCAGGTGACCAGCTCTTGTTAAAAATACACATTCCAAAAATAAAAAATAAAAAAATAAAAAAATAAAAATACACATTCCCACGGAAACCAGCTGGCATCCACCAGCGAAGAATGGAGAGAAAGACAATTTGGTCTGTCCACACAATGGCATGTGATTCAGCCATAAAAGGGAATGAAGTTCTGATTCATGCCATGACATCGATGAAGCTCAGATCAGGGTCACGTGAAAGAAGCCAGACACCAAAGGCCACATAACACACGAGTCCACTCCACAAAACATAGAGTAGGAAAATATTCACAGAGACAGAAAGATAGGTTAGAGGCCACCAGGGGCTGGGGGAGGGACAGAGAAGGGAGTGACCGTTTCATGGGCGCAGAATTCCTGTGTGTGGGGGGACAGAAAAGTCCTATAAACCTTCCCAAGGTGAAGGCTGCACGACACCATGAACGTCGTAAATGACAGTGGATTGTGCGCTTAAAAACAGCAAAAATGGCAAATTTCCTATTATATGTTTTACCAAAAGGAAAACCCCACACTCCTTCCTGGGCCCCACAGGTGAGTCTGATTCTCCGGGCCTGGCAAGCTCGGGGGCACAGCCACGTACACCCTCAAAAGCAAGGGCACGGGCAGGCTTGGGAAGGCAGCCCCGTGAGGCTCCTGGAGGCTCGGCGCCGAGGCCACGAGGCAGGCGGGCGGGCACCGAGCGCTCCCAGTGATGCTCTGGGGCTGCGGGTACCTGGTGATAGTCCTCCATGTACTTCAGGTGACTCTCCTCACAGATGAGGAGGTTCAGGTACTCCTTCCAATCTGCGTGCACGGCCTCCATGTGCGCCTGCCCAGAGAAGGGGGTGGGGGCAGGTTACTGCGTGGCAGGTGCCTGGGATGCCAAGGGATGAATGGCAGGATTCTGGACCTGAATGTTGGGGGACGGGGCACCTTGCATCTCCCTGATTGTGGCTCCCACCGAGGCAGCCAGCTTCCTTCTGGGCATGGGAGGAGACAAGGGACACGGTGAGGAGCCAAGCAGGGATGCCATGTACGGGTACTTGACTTGTGCACTGCACAAGGGACAAGTAGGGGCTGCATCTCCCCAAAGTAGTGCTTTTGAAAATGTTCACAGGAAAAAAAAAAAAAAAGAAAAAGAAAATGTTCACAGGGATACCTGGGGGCTCAGTGGTTGAGCATCTGCCTTTGGCTTGGGGCGTGACCCCGGAGTCCCGGGATCCAGTCCCACATCAGGCTCCCTGCATGGAGCCTGCTCTTCCCTCTGCCTGTGTCTCTGCCTCTCTCTCTCTGCTTCTCATGAATAAATAAATAAAATCTTTAAAATAAATAAATAAATAATAAAATAAAATGTTCACAAAGGCACTGTAGAGGGTTGGATGGTATCCCTCCCCTCCCCAAATCCATGTCCACCCAGAACACAGAATGTGACTTTATTTGGAAATAGGGTCTTTGCAGCTGTAACTGAATAAGGATCTCAAGGTGAAATCATCCTGGATTTAGGGTGGGCTCTGAGGTCCGCTGACTGGTGTCCTCCTAAGAAAATGAGGTGACACACAGAGCCACACAGGGGAGGAGGCTACGTGAAGACAGTGGCAGAGATAGGAGGGACGCAGCCCCAGGCCAAGGAACGCCACCACGGACTGCCGGCAGCCAACCCCCAGAAGCAAGGAACGAGCATGTCCTAGAACCTGGGGAGGGAACAAGCCTGCCAACACCGTGATTTCGAACCCCTGGCCTTCGGGCTGTGAGAGTGGACGTTCCTGCTGTCTCAGGCCACTGAGGCTGCGGTCATTTGTGACACCAGCCCCGGGAAACTACTGGTACCGCTTGGGCTCAGAGGTCCAGGGGTGACGGCAGGACGTGGCAAAGGATGGGATCGTGAGAGGAGATGGGGTCAGACGGAGGAAGGGAAGACAGCATGAGGGACAGGCAGACAGATGCAGGATGCAGGACCCCCCCCCCCGCGGGGGCTGGCTGCCTGGGTCCAGGCAGCCCACAGCAGAGGCCGCCCTGAGACCCCCCTGGAGGAGGCGCCCCCCCCAGGGCACACGCACCTCAATGGAGTTCCTCCCGGGGTGCTCGGCAGTCAGCAGCTGGTCACCTTCACTGTGCAGCTTGTTAATTCTCTCCTCTTTGGCCTCAAGGTTCCGGTTGATGAAATTCTGCATGGGGGCCCGCAGGGATGGGGGGTGCTCAGCGCCCAGCGGGCGGCCTGGGTCCCCGCCCCCGCCCCGCGCCCCGAGGCCCCCCAGGCCCACCTCATACTGGCGCCGGCGGCTGGGGTAGTCGAGGTTGCGGTCACTCCAGTCATACTGCACGCGGCCCTTGGCCTGCTGGTCCAGCCAGTACAGCTCGTTGGTGCAGCGCTGCATGTAATCCTGCAGCGAGCTCAGGTGCTGCTGCCGGGCCTGCGACGCCGCCTGCGGGCGGGGGGAGGGGGGGGCTGAAGCCTCCGTGCACCCCTCCCCTGGGCCTCTGGCCACGAGCGCAGGCCCAACTCCATACTTCCCGCCGGGTCCCCCGGACGAGTCACCTGACCATCCAAAGTGCATTCATTCATTCATTCATTCATTCATTCATTCAGCAGCCGTCCCCAGTGCCCTAATTGCCGGGCTTCGCTCCGGGCTCTGAGCACAGAACTCTTCCGTGGAGACATGCGTTTCCCCAGGCACAAAGTGGGGGTGACAGCAGCGGAGATCTCACGGGGCACCGAGGCTGTCCCACGGTGCTCGGTATGTGTGAATAGCCACAGCTTCCACTTCCATCTCCATCACGTGCAGAGGCCGGGGTGCAGGAGCAAACACTACCACCTCCCACGGGAGAGGTGCAGGGTGCGGGGCAAGGAGGAGCTGGGGTGGGGGGGCGGGAGGGCAGCTGAGGCCTACATGGACCAGGACCCCGCGGGGCCCTCCTCCCACTGCAGCCGAGCCCAGCCCGGGCGACAAGGACTCCAAGGGCTCCATCACACTGATCAGGAAACCGAGGGTCTGAGGGGCAAGTGGCTCCCTCGAGGTCTCCCCACTGAGGGATGGAGGCGCCTGGCTCCGGAGCCCTGCGTCCTGTCACCCAAGGTGTCTGAACCAGCTGTGGCAGGAAGCGTTTACGCATCACCGCGTGCTCTTACAAAGAACCCGTTCCTGGGCCGCTGGGCCACTCAGCGGTGGAGCGGCTGCCTCCGGCTCAGGGGCTCAGGACGTGATCCCAGGGTGCTGGGATCGAGTCCTGCATCGGGCTCCCCACAGGGAGCCTGCTTCTCCCTCTGCCTGTGTCCCTGCCTCTCTCTCTATGTGTCTATCATGAATGAATAAATAAAATCTTTAAAGAAAAAAAAGGGAAATCGAAAACTTTTGCTTATAAAGTGCAGGGCATCGTACTTGGCACACAGATGGTGCCTAGTGAGGAAATAAGAAGTGGACTGTAGGATGGACTGTATCCAGGGGACCTGTTAGGGTTTTCCACGAGCAAACCACAGCACCTCTCAGGTGGAGGCTCAGGGTACAATCTCCTTCACACGCAAACCCCTTTCATTCTGTTAGAAATGTTTATTGCACACACTTCCTGACCCCCCCAACCCCCGACATCCCACCCTCTCACCTCCCATTCCCCGGGGGCCGGGTTCTCACCAGCAGTTTCTGGTACTTGGCCTGGAGTTCGCTGTTCTCCTGCGGATAGAGCCAGGCTGCAGGTCACAGGGAAGCCACAGGCGTGACCCCTCCTCCCCGGGGCCCAGGCCCAGGCCACCACCGCACGCACCTTGCCGCCGTCCTTGGCCAGGTGCGGCCCGATGGCCTTGACCTCGTTGTGGAAGATATTGTGCTGCTCCACCTGGTGATCCACCAGCGGCAGGTCCGTCCCAAAGCCCTGGCCACTCAGCTTGTCCTGGGAGGGCGGGCGGAGAGACCATGACAGAGGGTGGGGGAGGGCCCTGGACTCGCAGCCCAGCCACCCCAAGAACCAAGGAGGGAAAAAAAAAAAAAAAAAAGAACCAAGGAGGGAGCCGAGGGGCCCCGGGAGAGACGCGGGGTTGGGGGGAGACTGTCACCTTTGCCACCGCGCCCTACACGTGTCATCTCAATCTCACTGTAACCTCAGAGGCCCCCACAGTTGTCATTTCCATTTCACAGATGGGGAAACAGAGGCCTGGTCGGGGGACACACCACCCGGAGACAGGCTAGCCTGCCTGGGCCCCGACAACCAGAGCTGGAGAGCATTCCCGGGAGGTGCCCAGTCTCCACCACTTCGGCTGGGGGACACTGGGCCAGGCGCTACACCTCTGAGCTGTGCTCTTCTCACTGGTGCCGACGTTGGGCACCATCAGGAGCGTGACCCTCTGCGAGGTGGGACCGTGGAAGCCGTTGGATGGCGGGGTACCCCCTGCCCACAGCTGCAGCCTGGGCCGTACCAGCTTCTCATCCACCAGCGCTGCCCAGTTGACCTGCGGGTCCACCTCCTTCACCACCAGGTTGTAGATCTGCTTGTGTTTCCCCCGGAGGTTGATCACGCGCTCCTTCAGCTGACGGATGCTGAGTGGGGAGAGCGGCCATCCTGGTTGGCGGGGCTGGTTGACAGCGCCACTGCCTACCCTCTTCCCCGGGGAGGGGCCTCCCACCGCAGACCCTGGCCCCGGGGCTTTCTGCTCAGTGGCCTGGAAGGACACAGCGACCCAGGCCTTGTCATCCAATCACTGACATCCTCCCTCACCCTTTCTTCTCCTATCGATGTATTCCCAGGGCCTACTGTGTGCCCAGAACCATAGAAGGTTCTGGAAGAAACAAGCAGGTCCACTGCTCCCCGGAGCCCACCATGGAGCAGGAACCATAGGGGTGCCCTGGGCCAGGACAGGGATGGCACAGAGAGACCCTTGCCCTTGCCAGGGTGGGGAGTGCAGAAGGAGCTGGGAGGCATTTTGGGTGCCAGTTTATCCACAGCTGAGCTGAGGGGGGTGCGGTGAACATGGGAAGCTGGGAGCGGGAGAGCGTGCTCAGGAGCTGGGAGGCGGGACAGCGTGCTGGTCAGGGAGCTGTGGTCACACTGGGACCAGAACAGAGGACGTCAGTGCTGAGCCTCAGTCTCCCTGAGGAGGGAGGATAACCACAGCGTTGGGCACATGCCCCTTGGTGAACCCCGCTTTGGGCTCCGGAACACTGAGCGGCCTACAGCCCTCCTTCCCTGTCCCAGGGGCCTGGCGTGGGGGGACCTACTCCTCGGCAATCATGTCTCCTTGGGGATGCTTCATGTGCTTGGCAATGGCTGCATCCGCCTCTAGCACATACAGCAGCTTCTCTGAGTCCGACACCTTCTGCAGGGTCACATCCCGGTGCTCGGGCTGTCGGCCCTCCTGCAGCCGGGCCAGGTCCTGAGAGAGTCAAGACAGGAAGGGGGACAGTGGATGGGGACTCGGTGGGCACCGTCGGGGTGGGAGGGGCACGGGGAGAGGGCCAGCAAGGGGCTCCCCGGGCCCACCTCGCCTCTCCTCCCTGTTTCTTCAACAAACAGCCCACGTACCCACTTGTGGGGGCTCTGAATGAACAGGCAAGGCTCCGCCCAGCCCAGTCAGATAAACACAGAAACCTCACAGAGGTAAATACAAGTCCATACAAGTCGGTGTTTATCAAGGAAACACACCGGAGGTGCAACAGCAGGACCTGCTTTAGATCCGGGGATGAGTGAGCCTCCTCGGAGGCGGTGACATAAGCTAAGAACCAAGGATGAAAGGAAAGAGTGTTGTAGGCAGAGGAAACAGTCTGTGCAAAGGTCCTGGGGCAGGAAGGCAGGCTGGGGAGGGAGGTGGGAGACGTGCAAAGCAACGAGGCCCCATCTATCCTTAACGGCAATGCCTCAGGGCTCTAACAGGGCAAGAGCACAGCCAGGAGGGCGGCCAGCGGTGTGACAAGGTGGGAGCTCATGGTGGCCGGTCAGGGGCGGCAGCTGCAGAAATGGTGAGAGTAGACAGAGCGGGTGGATATTTGGGAGGCACGGTCTGTGTTGCTGAAGGGCCAGGGTCTCTGCTTGTTCATTCATGGGAGACACACACACACACAGAGAGAGAGAGAGAGAGAGAGAGAGAGAGAGAGAGGCAGAGACACAGGCAGAGGGAGACGCAGGCTCCATGCAGGGAGCCTGATGTGGGACTCGATCCTGGGTCCCCAGGATCACATCCTGGGCCAATGGCAGGCGCTAAACTGCTGAGCCACCCAGGGATCCCCCTCTGCTTGTTTAGGGAAAGACAACGAATGGGCAAGCAGGGCAGCAGGAGTCTTATCATACGTCAGATACACCTAATAAAACTGCTGCAAAAGCAAAAAGAAGGGGCACCTGGGGAGCTCAGCAGTTGAGCATCTGCCTTCGGCCCAGGGGGTGATCCCGGGGTCCTGGGATCGAGACCCACCTCGGGCTCCCCATAGGAGCCTGCTTCTCCCTCTGCCTGTGTCTTGGCCTCTGTCTCTGTGTGTCTCTCATAAATAAATAAATAAAATCTTAAAAAAAAAAAAAAAAAGCAAAAAGAAGCAAATGAGGTGATGTGCTTCCTGGTCCAGAGTAAGGACCAGACCCCTCTGTTGGGAGAAGAGAAGGCGCTCGGCCCATCCGTTCCCCGGCCAGCTCCAGGGAGGTTGGGGGGCAGGTGGGGCCTGGTGCCCCGAGAGGCTTGGAGGGGAGGCCCGGGGTGGGGCTGGGCGCTCTCTTCACCCCGGGGGTGGGGCTGGCCAGTGGAAGAAAAAAAAATACAATAAAGCCTCAGGGTTCTTGGCCTGGATGGAACATCAGCCACTCCATCATTTCCAGCTGATCTGCAGCTCTCGGGCAGTTACAGTGTCAGAGACTAATTCTGCAGGAGGGGAAGCAAAGTAATCATTACCTCATTCACGCAAACGCTGTGTGGGAACGCAAGCCCTCTCGAAACCCGCTAGCCAAAACCAGAAAGAGAACATCGAGCCGAGGGACGCCACGTAGGTGTTCAAGAGCTCACAGGGGCAACTTGATGGATGGCGAGAGGTCGGCACGGCGGTCACCTCTGGGGAGTATCGATCGGAAGGTCACGGGCCAGCTTTCTGGGAAATGCTCTCTGGCTTGACCTGAGCAGCGGTTACATGGGTAACTATGGACGCAAAGGCCCTTCAAATGTGGACGCTTTCTTCTTCTTTTTTTTTTTAATGTTTTATTTATCTATTCATGAGAGACACACAGAGAGAGGCAGAGACACAGGCAGAGGGAGAAGCAGGCTCTCCATGGGGATCCTGACGTGGGACTCGATCCCAGGACCTCGGGATCACGACCCGAGCCAAAGTCTGAGCCACCCAGATGCCCCTAAATGTGGCCACTTTCTATATGCTTTACAGAATTTACACCTCAAGTAAAAGGTTTTATGAGTAAATATAACGCTTGGGGGCTGATGTATCTAATAATTACACACACGCTGGTGGGCGGATGAGTGATAAAGCTAATCCAACAGATGTTACTTGTGGAATCGGGCGGGTAGGGATATGGATATTCTCTGTGAAATTCCTTCAACTTTTCTGCATGTTCAAAAATTTGGGGGATGCCTGGGTGACTCAGTGGTTGGGTGCCTGCCTTCAGCTCGGGTTGTGATCCCGGGATCTGGGATCAGGTCCTACATGGGGCTCCCTGCGGGGAGCATGCTTCTCCCTCTGCCTGTGTCTCTGCCTGTCTCTTTCAGTCTGTGTCTCTCATGAATAAATAAATAAGATTAAAAAAATTTGGATAGAGGGGGACGTCTGGGTGGCTCAGCAGTTGAGCATCTGCCTTGGGCTCAGGTCATGATCCCAAGGTCCTGGGATCGAGTCCCACACTGGGCTCCCCGCAAGGAGACTGCTTCTCCCTCTGTCTCTGACTCTCTTTGTGTATCTCTCATGAATAAATAAAATCTTTAAAAACTAATAAAAATTAATAAAAAATTTGGATAGAAGGGTGCTTGGGTGACTCAGTCGGTTAAGCATCTGCCTTTGGCTCAAGTGATGATCCCAGGGATCCCTCAGGAAGGAGCCTGCTTCTCCTTCTCCCTCCACCTGCTGCTCCCCCCACTTGTCCTCTCTCTCTCTCCATCAAATAAATAAATAAAATATTTTAAAATCTGGGTAGACAAAGAAGGTTATATATTGTATAATTCTGTTTGTATGAAACATGCAGAACTAAATCCATAGACACAGAAAGCAGAACAGAGGGCAATGGGGAGGGGGGTGGGTACGAGGTTCCCTTTGGGGGAACAGAAATGCCTTGGATCTAGAAGGAGGTGGTGGGTGCCCCGCACTGCAAATGTAGTACAGGCCACTGACTTGCATGCTGTAAGTGGTGAATGTTATGTTACGTGAATCTCACTTTAATGTTAAGAAAACAGGAAAACTCAAGAGAACTTTTGGGTAATGAATAGAGACATCTTCTGAGAAGATAAAGGGTGGAAGGAAAGAAAAAGAAAGTAAAAGAGGAGTCCATATGGTCGTCAAAGCAGAGTTTCTATTTTCAGGTTGGTTCATCTAAATTTAAAAAACAGTTTAAAATTATTCCCCAAGTACATCCTTGTTACTGTGAGTCACTACTCTAAGCAAATAAAAATGAGAGCCCTAGACCCCAGTCACACACACACACACACACACACACACACACACACACACACACACGCACACGTGTGCCCAGAGAAGGGTCAAACAGATACGCCGAGATGTTAATAGCTGAGCAATCTCTCTGGCGGTGGAATCACACGATTCCAACTTGCTTTTGTTATACTTGTTTATCAGCTCTGAAATATTTGCAACAAACCCATATTACTTTTATTAGGACAAGAACAGACACACCCAAAAAGCTGTTTTCACTTAGGAAAGAAAATTGCACGACGCCATGAGAGGAGGGGAGCGAGGACTGTGCGGAGGAGCTGGGCCCTGGACTGAGCGGGCGGCGGGGCACCAGGCAGGTGATGGTGGCAGGAGCCAGGGGAGGGCCGGAAAGGAGCCCGGGGGGAGGGCCCCTGGCCAGGAACAGAGGGCTCCACCCATCTTTCCTGCCTGCTTCCCCACACCTCCTTTCTCACTCCCGGCTGTGCCACCCCTTGCCCATCCCTCCTCGGGTGGGTGGACACCTGTGTGGTCGGGGGGGGTGGGCAGCCACGGCTGGGCCAGGCCTTGAGCTCCCTCATGACCTGTCCCCCTTCTGTCCCCCACTCCTCTGGACCTGCCTCGCGGTCACCTCCTGGGCAGGGATGCAGATGATATAGAGACCATCCAGTCACGCTCAAATTTCAGGATAATTCATAGCATAAGTATATCCCAAACATTACATGAGCTATCCCTCTAGGAGACAAAATTATGTGTGTTCTGAAAGTCAAATTTAACAGGATATCCTGTCTTCTTATTTGCTGAATCTGGCAACCTCACCTCCGGGATGCTTCGGGGGCTAGTTCTGCCACTGATGAGTCACCTCGCTCTCCCTGAACCTCAGTGTCTCCAGCTACAAAATGGGTTTAAACTCAACCGCGCTGGCCTGGGGAGGGTTCAAAGGGATGACCATCCTGGCAGCTCACAGGTGTGAGTGGAGCTCAGCATCCCTCATTGTAGAGACTCCTCAGGAGACCCTGCGGCTCTGAGCTGCTTGTCACAGAAGAGGAAAGCAAGAGCAGCCCGGGTGGCTCAGACGTTTAGGGCCTGATCCTGGAGACCCGGGATCAAGTCTCACGTCGGGCTCCCTGCATGGAGCCTGCTTCTCCCTGTCTGTGTCTCTGCCTCTCGCTCTCTGTGTGTCTCTCAAAAAAAAGAAGAGGAAAAGGAGATACAGGGAACATGATTTGCCGAGCTCCTTCCTCTCTCTTCTCTGAAAAGAGTTAGAGCACATGCGTCTGAGCGGCAGGGGAAGTGCAAGAACGAGGACATCGATGATAATACCGAGCCCTTCGATACACCTGAATGATCTCACTGAATCTTTACAGCGGCCCAGCCGATGGGGATGATCACTTTTACCTTGTTGGAGGGAATCACATGCACAGAGAGGTAAGGTAACCTGCCCAAGGTCACACAGTAAGTGGCAAAGCCGGGGTGCTAAGCAGGACCTGGTTCCTGAGACCAAGGTTCTCCTCCAGACGGGGCTCCATAAGCTGCAGGAGCTTAGCCCCCAGGGTGGGGGGCTGACACTATCAGCAGTAACGCCGTCTCCCCAGCTCCACGCTGCTGACATTTGGGGCTGGACCACTCTGGGGGTGGGGGCGTCCTAGGCCCTGTGGGGGTTGGTCAGCATCGCCAGCCTCCACCCACCATATGCCCGTCCACCCCACAACCCCCACTGCAACGGCCACAAACATCTCCAGATGCGGCCACATGTTCCCCAGGAACAGAATCCAACCCCTCCCGGGGAAGAACCACCGGGTGCAGAGGTGGGGCGCGGGGGGACACTCACGCTCTGCATCTTGGCCTCCGTGTCCACGATGTTCTTCTCCACCTGGTCGGCATTCTTCTGCAGCTGCTCGATCAGCTCCGACAGCTCCTTGTTAGAGATGCTGCGGGCAGAAGACAGGGGGTGGGCCAGAGCCAGCGGGGTGGCCGAGGCCCCAGCAACCTCAGAGGGGGCCTGGCTGCCCACCCCGTTGCCTGCCCCAACCCTGGGCGACACCACCAAAGCCGCAGAAACGAGGCAGCTTGCAGTGCCTTTACTGAGTTTTTTTTTTTCCATATTTTTTATTGAGCTATAATACACATACCATCAAGTTCACCGTTTTAAAGCCTATAATTCAGTGAGTTTTAGCGTATTCACAGGGTCATGCTGAGGGGTGTCCAGCCCTACCTCTGTTGTTGCTGTCTTTCAACAAAGGAAGAAACAAAGACCAGAGAGGGAGTGCAACTTGGCCAATGTCACCCAGCTGGCCAGTAATGGTCAAGATTGGCACCTAATTCCCCAAACTCCATTGAAAACCCTTCTGTACTGACTCCAAGGCAGAGCCCGAGCAGCCAAGCACTCAGAAGTTTCATTCTACCTACACTCATTAAGCACCTACTAAATGCCAGGCCCAGCACGGCACACAGAGAAAGCCTCACCCACCGACAGGTCATCCCCTAGATGGGGAGGAAATGAGCATTTACAGAAATAGTCACAGATGGAGACAGGCATGGTGGTGAGGGGATGCCCAGGGGAGCCTCCTGCCTGCCTGGGAGGGGTTGGGACTGGTCACTGAATGCTCCCTGCAGGAGGTGGTGGTGGCTAGGCCCTGAGGAATGAGGAAGAGTTTGGGGTTCATGGGCAGAAGGCTTCAGTGAGGAGAGGCCACAAAACAGGTGGGTCCTGGGCCTGTCCATTGGGGTGGGCCAGGGCAGAGCTCTTGACCCTCAGGCAGAGGGGGGCCCCCACCTCTTCAGAGTGAAATTCCTCAAATCAAGGCCTGGGATGCACCTACTGTGGCACAAAACATTCAGATTCCCAGGCACTAACCCAGACCCTCTGAATCCGCATCTCCAGAGCCGGGCCCAGGAAGCTGTATTAGGATTGCTGTTGACGGGGCGCCTGGGTGGCCCAGCGGTTGAGTGTCTACCTTCAGCCCAGGACATGATCCCGGGGTCCTGGGATCGAGTCCTATATTGGGCTCCCTGCAGGGAGCCTGCTTCTCCCTCTGCCCCTCTCTCTCTCTCTCATGAATAAATAAATAAATAAATAAAATCTTAAAAAAAAAAAAAGGTATTGCTGTGTTATTACAGGTTCTCCAAGGGGACCCTGACACCCTGCAGAGTTTGAGGTCCAGCACAGCAGGTCCTGCTGCTATGGGGGTGGGGGGAGCTGGGGGCAGAAACAGGCACGGCAAACAGAACCCATGAGTCTGGCCATCTACATCTCAAACCCTGAGAGCCTGCTCTGTGCCAGGCCTGACTGTGCAGAAGCTGGGGGGGCGGGAGTGGGGGGGCGGGGGAGAGGAACAAGACCCAAGGTATACTCTCTGCCCAGTCAGTCAAGGAGACAGCTTTTCCCAAAGTGGGGTCCCAGGAACCCCAGTCCTGTAAGTCACTCCCAGAATGAAGGCTTTGCCAGTCAAGGCAGCTCGCAACACCTGGACCCTCGAGAAGTCCATGAGCCAGTAGAGGCTCTTAGCAGTCCTGCAGTGCAGAAAGCTGGAGAGATGCAGGGAAGGCTCAGAGGAAGGGATTGTGTGTGGAGGATCCGAGGAAGGAAGGGTGAAGGCTGGGCTGCCAGGGAATGGACTGAGCCCACAGCCCACAGCCCCCACCCCCCACCCCCCCCCAACCCGGCAGGTCAGACCACATGGAGAATGGGAGGGCTTCCTTCCCGGCCCCTCCCCTCCACCAAACCACTGCCTCTCAGCCTGGCCTGCTGCACGCAGATGCGGGGAGTCTCAAACCAGATATTTAACCCATGACTGCTGGAGCATCATCGGGAGCCTGCAGTGTAGCTGAGGTGGGGGCCCCCAGCTCAGCCCAGGCCCACCCTACAATGCGGGGCCCAAACCAGCCTCCCTTCACTGGCTGGAGCAGTGAGGAAAGCGTCTTCTGGTCCCCACCTTGGCTGGCCCATTATTCCAGCCAAAGGCCGGCACCAGAAAGGGGACCAAGGAGCAGGGGAGACAGCCAGTCCGGGAACCTGAAGCTCCTGGCAGAGAACAAAGGAGGGTTCCGTGAGAGAGAACCCTTCTGGCCAGAGACACATGGGTTCCAAGTCCAGCTGAGCCATTTCCTGCTTGGACCATCTCAGGCAAGCACCTTAGCCTCGAGGTGCCTCAGTTTCTCCATTTGTTGACAGGGATGACCACTGAGGTATCATGGAAATATTGACATTTCCTGCACATGCTTCATCAGACATCAGATATGTTTATAGGCCCTGCCATAGAAGCATCCTCTTCCTAAGCCCTGGGGGAGGTCTGTGTGCCCCTTAACAGATAATTTATAGGAAACCAGGGCTCAGAGATGTCATGGTGTTCGCCCTGTGTCATACACCGTGTGGATGGGGCGCCAGGACTCTGCTCACACAGTCTTGTTCTAGAGGCCACTTCATCAAATACTAGGCTCACAGCTACTCACAGGGGTGCTGGGAAAATCACAAGCAAACATACAGCAACAAGCACCATCACCAGAATAGTATGAGCTTGTATTTACTTTCCACATGCCAACCTTTCCACTCATTTCTTAATCTTCATTACAAGCCTGTGAGATAGGTGTCGACCCAGTGGGTAATCATGCTATTGCCCCCATTTTACAGATGTGGAAATCGAGGACCAGAGAGCTTTAGAAACTTGCCCAAAGTCACACAACAATTAAATGTTAGAGCCAGAATTCCAACCCAGGTAGGCCCCAAGTCCATGCCACTAACAACCCCATGTTGACGATCCTGTGGGGCTCCCAGCACATCCTAGGCATGGACTGCCAAGTGCCCTAGACCACAATGGGATGCCACGTCTCACCCACTAGGATGGTGATAATTAAAAAGACAGGCCATAACGATTTGGTGACAGGCTATGGAGAAATCAGAACCTTCACTCCTAGCTAGCTGGTGGGAACTGTAAAAATGGTGTAGCTGCTTTGGAAAGCAGTCTGGAAGCTCCTCGAAAAGGTAAATATAGGGGATCCCTGGGTGGCTCAGCGATTTAGAGCCTGCCTTCAGCCCAGGGTGTGATCCTGGAGACCCGGGATTGAGTCCCACGTCAGGCTCCCTGCCTGGAGCCTGCTTCTCCCTCTGCCTGTGTCTCTGAATAAATAAATAAAATCTTAAAAAAAAAAAAAAAAGTAAACATAGTGTTGCCACACGACCCAGTAACTCCACTCCTAAGTACCTACCCAAGAGAAATGAAAACATAGGTCCACACTAAACTTTGAACGAAACACAGAGGTTCCTAACAGCACTATTTACAATAGCCAAAAAGTAGAAACAACACAAACTTTCATCAGCCGATGAATGCATAAACAAAATGTGGAATATCCACGCAATGGAACATCACTCGGCAAAGAAAGGAATGAAGCAAAAAAGAAAAAGAGGGCAGCCCCGGTGGCGCAGCGGTTTAGCGCTGCCTGCAGCCCGGGGTGTGATCCTGGAGACCCGGGATCAAGTCCCACGTCGGGCTCCCTGCCTGGAGCCTGCTTCTCCCTCTGCCTGTGTCTCTGCCTCTCTCTCTGTGTGTCTCTCATGAATAAATAAATAAAATCTTAAAAAAAAAAAAAAGCTGATATCCCCAAAATTGGCAAGTGCCATTTCTAGGTGATGGGACTTGTCTCTTCCTCCCCCATCCCCTTGAGCCTTCTTCCTGCCTTGTATCTATTTTCCAGGAGGTTAGACCAGCTCCAGGCACCCAGCTGCCTAGAAGATACTAGTTAACACGCGCAGAGTTGAGCATGTGCCCACCAGTGCTAAGCAAGTCACATACATATAGATTAGCTCCTTTAGGGGCGCCTGGGTGGCTCAGTGGTTGAGCATCTGCCTTTGATTCAGGGCGTGATCCTGGGGACCCGGGATCGAGTCCCACATCGGGCTCCCTGCATGGAGCCTGTTTCTCCCTCTGCCTGTGTCTCTGCCTCTCTTTCTGTGCCTCTCATGAATAAATACATTAAAAAAAAAAAAAGATTAACTCCTTTAATCCTACCACTGCTGAAGTTGCACTGTTTTCCAGTTTTACAGATGGGGAAACTGAGGCACTGAGTGATTTAATGAGTTGACCACAATTCCCACTGCCAGAAAACAACAACTGGGGTTCTAATCCAGGCCTCCGGGCCACAGTCCTAGCACACTTTTTTTCCTTTTGGGTTTGGGGTCCCGAATGAGGCGCCCCACAGGACCCTGCATTCTGGCCAGGCATGCAGGAGTGCAGGAATGTGGGCAGGTCAGGAACCTGAGGGAGGGGGCGCAGATCCCAAAACAGCTGGGAACTGGCCTGGCCAGTCCAGCTTTTCATCTCACTAATAAGACCCACTGGGGCAGCCAGACAGGGCATGAGCCCGACTGATGGAGACCAAGATACCACCTTTCCCCACCACCCCCATCCAGTCCTGTCCACCCCGGAGGCGATGATCACCGCAGAGCCGGGAAAGCCAAGGTGTCCCCACCCTGGAGAGGGAGGCAGGGCTGAGCGACATGCTGGTAGAGAGACACACCCGGCCCTCCTCTACTTACTCAAGTTTAACACGGACACAGGTTCTCAGGGCAGTGGCCTTTGGTTCCAGAGGGTGGCTTGGAAGTCATCCAGCCCCACCTGCTCATTACACGGATGAGCTGAGGCCCTCAGAAGCAAAGGCACCCACCCAAGGTCACAGAGGAGGCAGCTAGTGCCTGCAGTCAGACGGGGTTCAAATCCTGACCGCACCTGCCATCGGTGTGAGCTGCTTGTTTCTGAACCTCCCTTTTACCATCTATAAAATGGGAATCGTCCATCCCATGTAGTTAAGTGAGGGGGGTGGAAGAAAAGTCAGGGGGCCCTCCTGGAAACATCTGAATTGAGTTTCAGAGACCACCCTGGGGTTCAGGGCAGAAAACCAGTGCCTGGCAGGAGACAGGAGACAGTCAAGAAGTACC